ATTTGGTTTTTCAAGACAGGGTTTCTCTGTGTAGCTTTGCGCCTTTCCTGGGACTCACTTGGTAGTCCAGGCTGGCCTTGAACTCACAGAGATCCACCTGGCTCTGCCTCCTGAGTGCTGGGATTAAAGGCGTGCGCCACCAACGCCCGGCGGGTAATTTTTCTTTTGTAGATTTTTATTCCCCAAAATTTTAAAATAGAAGGAAATTGAGAATACAGTATAATATTGGCATAGTAAGTCGCTCTTCCATATTTAGAATTCTCGAATATTATTTGAATATTCAAATTGTATGAAATAATAAATACTGCTTTAATAGAAAGAAGAGAGAATTAGCTTGTTTGAGAAATCCTTGGTTATTTTTTATAAAAAGAACAAGCATTTTTGATCTGGATTGATGTACATAGTTTGGGATCATTCCCACATCCTCTCTCTAATAATTGTTGAGATAATACAAGAGCAGGATTGAATGGTGCTGACATGGTTCTGTGATTCTCAGGGGCTTCTAGCTGTGCTAGTGATACTCAGAAGCCTGTTTTCCCTAAAGACGACTTAACTTGTTTCCCTAAATACATCTTTCCCTAAAAACAACTTAATTTGCTAAATTCCTTTCAACAATTAAAATTATACTTACATATTGAATATAACAAATTCTTTGTTATATTACATGTAAAATAATATAAATATATTATATATAATATGTATATATACATATATGTAATGCCAAATTCCTGAAGCAGTTGAAAATCGTAGAACTGAATGTGTAAACACATTTTATTTTGATGCTTTTCCATTGTAGACAGTGTTTCCATTCCTCAATGAAAATGTTTCATCCCTGGCTACCTGACAGAACTGGGCTCATTATCTTCTTGCTTTCTGCTGCAGTTCAGAACTTGGTGACTCTTATGAGACAATTGAACACAAGTGATTGGTGATTGGTCATCCGATAAGATACTCTTATAAAGGAATCCAATCTTGCTTCTCATTTTTTTTTTTTTTTTTTTTTTTAGATTTATTTATTTATTATGTATACAGAGTTCTGTTTGCATGTATCCCTGCAGGCCAGAAGAGGGAGCCAGATCTCATTACAGATGGTTGTGAGCCA